TCACTTAAGTTTCGAAAAAATTGTCACTTCTGTTCTTCCATCCGATAACTTCCCCTGACCTAAGCTGTCAAAACATCGATTTGACTGTTAGAACACCTACGAAATAATTCACCGCGGTTAAGACATACTTTTTAAATGGTATTCCTCTGATGCAAAAAACAAAAAAAAAGCCCGATTTTAACCAAAATTTTGAATTTTCTAAAAAGGATGAAAAAATTTAATGAAATAATCAAAAAATACTTTGGCCTTTCTTAAACATAGACGATTATAAAATTTTTCATCATGGTATGCTCTTTTTTGGCGAATGAATAAATGAAGATACCTAGGTGAGACTTATCAAAAGTTTTCTAATAAAATAACATTCAGTATACAATTCATTTAAATGAATAAGTGCTGAAAATTTCGTTTAAATCGGACACTTAGCTAATTTGTTTTTTTAAATGGGCTAGCAAGCTTCTTTTTTTTTTTTTCTTTTTAAATATTTTTTGCTTTCATTTCGAAAAAATGCATTCATAGTTAAGTAGTACCTACTTTAGGATTCATTTTTAATTTTGGCTACTTTTATTTGTAAACTACTTTTGGTGTGTATTTCTGTTAATTATTTTTTAAGCGTAAAAAACATCCAATAAAATAATTTTTGCTTTGCTTTTGTTTAAAAAAAAAAAAAAAAAAGTGAAAGATAAAGCAATTGAATATACCAATTGAAGTTGATTGTACTGCGATCGAATTACCGATAAGAATGGTTCTGCTTTAATTTTCTGCTGATTGATGTTTTTTTAAGTTTAAAAAAAGCATCGACTACATTTTCTGAAAAATATAAAAGTAAATTTGCTTTTTAACACCCGCGCTAAATATCTCTTAAAATTTTCCCAAATCGTCATAATTCCGAGTAAATGTACATGCTGAACTCGAATTAACAATTAAATTATGAAGAAACCTACCATTTTGGAGTAATAGACAAGAAAAAAGTCGGACTTCTTGTTTGTAATTCGCCCCCCCCCCCATTTCTGCCATCATGAATACTGATTCACTGCGTTGTACTTCTGGTGGCCTTTGGCCTATTTACTTCTTTTACAGTCTTTCCTTGCAGAAAATCACTACGCACTACCGTAAAGTTTGGTAAGTGTAGTTTTATTTATAACAAAACAAATTAAATAATACAATATAACCTTTTTTTCCATTTCGAATAGCAATGACAAAAGAACAAATTAAATAATAAAAATAAAGCATTTTTTATATCTTAAAATTGAAAATAAAACAAAAACTAATGCACAAACTTGGTAAAGTAGAAGGTTTGATTGTATTATTTTATTTTTTTTTAATTTGTCCCCTTTTCTACACAGAAAGAAAACCCTAACCTTAACACCTAACTCTAAAGTTAACCCGGTTTATTGTATTATTTAATGTTTTTTTTTATTTAATTTGTTCTTTTAATTTGTCATTGCTATTCTTTAGGGTTAGAGGTTGTATTTGACTTCTTTCTGTGTAGAAAAGGGGACAAATTAAAAAAAAATTAAATAATACAATAAATCGTGTTAGGGTTAGGGGTTGTGTTTGGCTTCTTCCTGTGTAGAAAAGGGAACAGATTAAAAAAAAACATTAAATAATACAATAAACCGGGTTAACTTTAGGGTTAAGGTTAGGGGTGGGGTTTGCTTTCTGTGTAAAAAAGGGGACAAATTTTTAAAAAAATTAAATACAATCAACCCTTCTACTTTACCAAGTTTGTGCACTAATTTTTGTTTTATTTTCAATTTTAAAATATAAAAAATGCTTTATTTTTATTATTTAATTTTTTCTTTTAATTTGTCATTGCTATTCGACACAGGGAAAAAAGGTTTTTATTGTATTATTTCATTTGTTATTATAAATAAAACTACACTTACCAAAAAAAGAAAAAAAATTACATTTCTTTACGGTAGTGCGTAGTGATTTTCTGCAAGGAAAGACTGCAAAAGAAGTAAATAGGCCAAAGTCCACTGGAAGTACTACGCAGTGAATCAGTATTCATGATGGCAGTAATGGGGGACGAATTACAAACAAGAAATCCGATTTTTTCTTGTCGATAACTCCAAAACGGTAGGTTTCTTCATAATTTAATTGTTGATTCGAGTTCGGCATGTACATTTACACGGAATTATGACAATTTGGGAAAATTTTAAGAGATATTTAGCGCGGGTGTAAAAAAAAAAAAAAAACAAATTTAATAAATTTAAATCCGGCTGAGCCAGATTTCACCCTCTTCATATTTCATGTGCGTCCGTGTCTATATGCTTCTTCACTTACTGTTCAAGGTTTATAAATCATTAAAAAATTAAAACAAAATGTGCTTAATCGCTGGATTAGGCAAATTGAAATATTGGTATTTCAACTGCTGCAATGAAAAAAAATTTTCCAAGGTTTATTTCCCTTTACATTAACTTTGAATTGAACCAAGGAGGAAGGGCTTTTTTACTTGTTTATTTAGGCAGCGCAAACAAGTAAAAAGCAGTTCCCCCACCACCAAAGCGTACCTTACGACCTGTCCTCTAAAATTCGTTTTCTGGTAAAATCTGCCCTTGATTGGTTCAATTCAAAGTTAATGTAATAATAAACTAAAGGGAAATAAACCTTGGAAATTTTTTTTTCATTGCAGCAGTTATACCAATATTTCTACCCGTGTCGCAATTTCATACCAACTAAATCCCGTTTTGTTTGTTGTTATTCTATTCTCTTTATGAAGAAAAAAAAGTAGTCTGCCTCATTTTTAATTTTTCAAATGTTTGGACATTTTAAAAATTTGCCTTTTTAAAATCGAGAATACTGTAAGCACTAAGTTTTTTCTTTCTTTTTCGTTTTTTTAACTAAAATCATTGATTTTGATTAGAGTATTTTATTTTTAGCCCTCAGCATTCGTTTATCGATCAATTTTTAATTTCAGATTGCAAAGAAATGGGAAAAACAGAATATTTGCTCTGATTTGAATAAAATTTCCCTCTGGCGCACACGCAACTCATATTCATATTTTTTCGGGTAAATTTGCTTTTTAACGCCTAAAAATCGGACTTCTTGTTGGTCATTCTTCCACTATTACTACCATAATGTTTTTAGTAATTTACTGAGGGATACATCCGGCGTTGAAAGCACAAAATTTGGCCTTTCTGTGCAAACAATCACTACTCACTATCGTAAAGCAATTTTTTCATAATTGTTAATTCGAGTTCAACATGTACATTTACACGGAATTATGATGATTTGGGAAAATTTTAAGAGATATTTAGCGCGGGCGTTAAAAAGCAAATTTACCTTTTTCAAGTCATCCATAGTCACAAATTGCAATTAAAAGAAGGTTTTTAAAAATTTATAAATATGATTTTTGGACAACAGATGTTTCATATGTAGTAGTAACGAAAATTTATGTATACGGCTAAAAGATATTAAGTGCATTGCATGTAAAATAAAATAATTGACTCCTGGACAGATGCAAGATGCACAGTATGGAAGATGAAAATGAATCCATCGTTTTTACTTAACCAGTGTGTGTGATTTTTCAGTTTTTAAATATTTGAGACTATAATCTTACAAAGGTAAAAAAAATGTTCCTTTCAGCGAAAGTAAATTTGATCTACCCAAGAAAAGAAAATAAAGTCAAAAAAGTTACATATTTTCCATTTAAGTACTAGTGTAATTTTAGTTTTTTCAATAGCCAATTCTGAATAATAACATTGTATTATTTTTAAGTACATTACTTATTTTATAAATAAATATACACTGATTATTTGTCGATTAGAAATTATTTGTACTCTACATGCGGCCGTTGATTTTTAAAAATTATTACATAATTTAATTGCCGTAAGCCAAACAAAATGACAGAACTATTGCGTTACGGTTTTTCTTCAATTTTATATAGAAATGCATCGTCACTTGTTACATTCATTTGCATTATTTGCTGCAGTGTTTTTCTCGCTGAGATATTAAATTCGAATGATTTTAATCGCTAAATATCTTCCTAGTTTTATTCCTTCATAGGTTCGTTATCCCTATTGAACGTGACTATTTTTCGTCAACTGAACTAACTAATTTACTTAAATTAAATTCTGTAAGTTACTAAGTGCAAAAAGTAAATCTAAGTTTATTTTAAAAAATGATTCCGCATCTAATCGAAACCCATATCCGAAATTAGATAGCTGCAACCTCAGTCCTTCCCATTTGGGATATCTCTAACCTCAGACATTGACCATGACTCTCTCCCTTTTTAAATGCATTTTTAATGATGACGGTTGTTTGACACGAAGTCTACCATATTTTTCATTTTTTTAAATCGTTAAGAAAACTTAAAAATTATGATAATGCATTTGTAAAAGAAAGCCATTTATATAGTGGTATAACAAACATCCTTAGATCATATAGAGAAAATTACAAAATTTCAGAATAGACATTTTTCTAACCGCATGTCACATTACCACAAACAAAATTACTGGAGCAGATAACTGTAACAATCTTTCATTTCAGAAAACGAGCAACAAAATTGGCATACATACTCCTTGGGGATTGCTCTTTTGATAAAATCCGTAAGCTACCTAAAAATTCAAAATGGCTGTCATTTTTCATGACTTGTCCTATTTGAATGATCTTGCTGTCAAATCATACCTTTTTCACTGTGTAGAATCTGAATTTAGAACTTGTACCTACTAACTAGCTTCCGTGTGCCATAACATCATTTCCGGTATCATAATTAAGGTAAAAAGTGTCCATATCATTGATACCATCAGTCCGTTATGTTATTAGATGTACATGTAGGCAGTAGGCCTATACTTGTTTGTCACATATTGTCTTTCTGCTTGGATGAGTATACTACAACATTTCTAAACCTCACATCCGTATCTGCACGGTGCTGTGCAGGTCAGACCAAAGCAGTAGCATTTGCATTGACTGCAGCATTCCGACTTGCATCCACTTAGCTGCTGGAAACTCTCTGCAATGGGTGGGAGCTCTGTCCAAACAATCTGCCACAGATTTCCTTACTTGGTCCAGTCCCAGCTGGCATGAATCTGCGTTTCTGGTTGACGGACTGACTCCGGATACAGTCTGCCTGATAGGAAGCACGCTTGACATGCTGCTTTAGCTCTGCTCAGATTGGAGGAATAGCCTCCGATTCCGAGCAAATATGGTAGGTAGTGGATGAGTTTGTTGAAGACACCGGAAGCCTCATCACAAACATCCCAAGTTTGCCAGGCAGATTTCTTCCCATTACCACGGAATGCCGAAATGACATCGCAGCCAGTGAAGGTATGGAAGAAGAGCATCCCTTTGCGCTTTTCTGCAAGAGTGGAACAAAAGTAATGTACAGGAACCTGCAGATTCTGTCCTTGACCAAAGGCATCCCACAACTGCTGTAGCTCCTGAAGTGCCAGCTGAATACTGATTTCAATGACGACAACATTTGTGTCACTGGCTTTGATTATGATGACATTGCTGTCTGCTTCTGTTGTGTGCCTGTCATGCACAAAGATCCACATATTTTTACCCTATCTTGTCACCCAGCGTTTCACCCCACGTCCTCATTTTGATCTAGTTTCAGACTAGATGGTCGGTAGACATCAAATACAATGTCTGTTGTTTTGCATTTGGTAGAGTATGCTTGTATTGTAGGAAGGACATTGAGCATTGCGTACTCAATAAACGTCTTTGAACTCCATGGAGGCAGACTGTTCACTAACGCTGCACCATGAATGTTGATCGTGTCGGCGTCTGGCTCTGCCTCAGGGGTTGTAATTTGGCTCTCAAGAATGGTAGTGACGTAGGGTTTCTGACAGGTGTGGAGTTTTCCACCATTATGGAGGGCAGCAGGATGTGACTGGTTCTCATGATGGAAGAACTCCTTCAAGTCACACTCTCTGCTCTGCATGATATGAATAGCTTGGGGAACAGTTGACAGTCTGCCTGCAGCAGTTTTTACTTGGAAGAGCCAAAAGATGCTGGTACATGTCGGAAAATGTCAACCCTGGTCTTATTGATTGGTACAGAGAAGGTGGATTCTTCATCCCCTTCAAGTCCCTTCATAAACTACTGAAACAGACCTTACCTTTCTCAAAGTGCGTGCCAAAGTGGCAGTTTAGTGAGCAATATCCTTTGCATCAAGTGAAAGCAGGTTTCAACTCTCCTCCTGGTAAAGATTGCTTGTGAGAATGATTCTACTTTCTCAAGAAACACTCTTTGTGCTCGTTCAGTTTCCTCATAGTGGCTGGTGTGTTTAGTACCCTCTTTGGTCCCACAAGCTGACTTCAGGATCAGCTATCATTCATCTTCTCAGTGCTGATGGGTCTTCAGTTACGCTGATCGCTCCTCTGTTTGCCTTGATGACAGCATTGGACTGCTCGTTTGGTCAGTAGCTACTGCTGAGAACTATCGGCTCAATTTGTGTACAACAAGGTTTCCACTATGGAACTCCTGATCCAGCTGAGGATGCTTCTGTTCCAAGGTCATCATGTCTCTGTAGTGAATTGTAACCCACCGTGCATAGTCTACATTGTTATTGGCAAAGAAGTACGATATCAGCTCAACCAGTGACTGACAGTATAGAAAGAAGTTGGCTTTCCTGAATGATCGGATTAGCAAGAGGATCACTAGTTCCAATGACAGCAACATATACCAGAAATTAAACTGGGGACTTTGCAGTTTGCGATGCTCACACCAAGTTTCGAAGCTAGGTACCTCTTCGGGTTGTTCATCTGTCTCTTTCGAGTAGTTCTTGTGGACTGCCTTAAGAAGCTTGTACAGACTGCATGCTCTTATCTGGTGCATCTGTCGTGTCCTAGTGATGCTCGAAGCTGTCAGAAACGAATCAGCTGTCTCAGGAGATGCTACAACTGCCTCCACGAGGGCTCCTGTCCAACCACTGTCCTAGAGTAGAGTTCCAATGGACCTCAGTGCCGCCATATCAATATGCAACTCCGAACATCATGATGAACTTGTCCTCAAAGATTTCAGGCCAGTGCCACTGGACCTACTTGGCTACTGCATATATTGGCTGGTCAGCAGCAATGACTGGCACCTGACCGGAGTTCAGCAATGTCACTATCTCCTTGATCTTGCCTATCACTTGCTTGACTGTAGCAGCCGAGTGAGCATGATTTCGCAGCACTGGCAAAAATGATCTATTTTGTGAAGCATGGTGGGCTGACCAAGTCACATCCATTGGCGCCCGTCTGTCCCAGTGACATTCTCCAGTCACTCATTGCCAGTTGTGGCCTCAGCAGGATGGTGCCTGCTGAGGCCACACTACTCTGGTGAGGAAGAGGGTTTCTTCTTGGTGAAGAAGGCGGGTAGGACATTGGTTAAGGAGTCTGGAAGTTCTGGAACTGTCTTCACTTTCAGCTGTCCACACATTTCACCTTTGTCTACTTTGGTTGGGTGCTGGAAAACAAAGACTCTCGTTCCATGGAAAAAAGTGATTTGTGTCGTTGCAGTGGGACTGTGATCTTTGTTGTCCATGTGGTAAACAGCCCCATTCAGAGGAACTTGTAGACAGACTACCTCATCCTCAATGTACTTGCTGACTGTCGTATGAAATGCTGATGCCACTCTCGTAAAGCATTTCCACTAACGTTCCATTTCTGGTTTTTGTCTAGACGGACAGCCCCAAGTATACAGGAAATGGGGTGTATGTCTTTGGAGTGTCTGTGAATTGCTGCCCTTTCTTTGTACTTAGCAGTTGTACTGATGCAGATTAGCAATTGCTAGATCTGTCATTGATGTGCCAAATCTCAGTTGAGATTCTATGTTCATGCCATGTTCAAGTATGCCCACAAACTGAAGAAGAGCGGGTGGAATGGCCTGCTCGATGCACCCCTCATGGAAGGTTCCATAAAATGTGAAGTTGTGGTTCAACATATGTCTTTGCAAGATGTTAGCTGCTTTGCCAAGGATAATAGTTTAACTATAATAGTCAAATGATTCTAACAGGACAAGGCCCACATCTTTCTGGAAAGCTAGAACATCCCTTCCCTTCTTGTGAGCTTCCAACTCAGGTATTTGTGACAACAGTTTTGTGGAGTTGACAGCAGGTGCATCAACACGCAGCTCTGTTCCAGGCGTTGGGCATACACGTGAACTATGTCTGCATGTCAGAAGACTGCAGGACCGTCATCAGATCTGATGGTCTTCACTAGATATGTGACTGAGAATGTCTGTGGGTAAGCATCCTCTTCGGGTGTACGTTGCTGTTCCAGTCTCTTGGTGGCTCTGGGGTACGTGTCGTTCAAATGCAAAATGATATTTGAGCTCCTGTGCAATAGTATCTCCACCGCTGATTCTTGCAAGAAGTTTTCCGTTTTTTATCGTCATAACTTGTCTTTGCTCAGAGGATGGGGCTTCTTTGCCACATATGAAACGCGTTTTAACTTCAACGATTGTTCTACGCAGCTTTGATCTTGCATTCTATTTACTGAGAACACTCTGCTCTTCTTCTAGCTCTATCAAGTTTCGTGTTGTTGAACATAAGGCGACAACTTTGGTGACATTGCGCCATGTTCCTTCTCAGAGTTCCTTCAATGCCAGCGCCATCATCAAGTCTGACTGAATCCAAAACAATAGGCATCTCATTAATTGCGTGAAAGAGGAGAAGATTAGTCGCAATCATAGTGTAGCCATTATGTTCTTGTTCTTGTCTTCACTTTTCTTCTTCTGGCAAAGACAACTCTTGCTCTAATCAGTCCGGAATTTAGACAGTCCTGGATCTGTATTTATCATCTTGATGAATGGTATTCAAGGTATCACAGTATGACATTTATCTGTATTCAGTGAATCCAAGCCGAGGAGTTATCCTTTTACCACCTTGATCACAATCATGCACAATAAAGTATAGGATATGACTAGATTCGCAAATAAAAATATATGACCTGCACCTAGCCCGATCGTTCATCCAGTATCATTTAAGTACCGTGCAATCTGTATATCATCCAGGTAACTATGTGCAAAGCAATGTAAAGCCCCGTTACTCTTGGCTCGGCTCTCCCGCCCTAGCACACCTTATCAGTTCAGGCACAGCTGTCTAACTAAAAATCTTTGTTAAACTACATGTAATCTACAGTAGATGCAGGGCTTATTAGAGAGCATTTGGGATACTAAACTAATTATTTAGGTACACTAAATAATTATTCAGCTGATAGTGAACCCCATGCTGAGTTTCTCAGCAGCGGTGCCATCCAGTGTGCCCTGGTTGTGCGTTGACATCCGCTATGTCACTATTTCTATTTAATTGCTATACTCTATTGTTTTCAAGCAAAGGAAGCCAGTGATTAAGTCCATGGTTCTAAATTCGGATTCTGCTTAGTGAAAAATGTATGATCATCCAAATTAGGACAAGTCTATTCAATCTGTATATTCAATTGAAAAATGGCCACCATCTTGAATTTTTAGGTGGCTAACGGGGTTTTTCAAAAGAGCAATCCCCAAGGAGTATGTGTGCCTATTTTGGTGCTTGTGTCCATAAATGAAAGATTCTCCTGAAAATCTGCTGTTATCTCCTCCACTAAATGCAGATTATCATTTTTTAAAATTCGTATAAAATTTCAAATCTTGTACAAATAGACACACAAACCTTTCGTAATAAGTCTTATCTTCAAATTATACCACCACAAGAATATTTCATTTTTCCTTTCAATCACTTCTAAATAATTTCTGAAATGGATACTGAATACTTTTCTTTCTTATCATGTTCTAGGTACCAAGCGCTACGTCTTTTCACAATTACGCATTTCATTTGTTTTTTTCTTGATAAATAATAATAATATTTCATTTTCCCAATTTTTGGTTAGAATAGAATATGCAAACGCCATTGTTCAGTTATATTTTTTTTTTAAAAGTTTGTAAAAGGTTTTTTCCTTTTATATAGTTTTTGGACAACTGTTCCCTCCAGCCAATGATACATTCATACACTGTCCAGGTGCCCGGAAGATTCAATGATTTTGACAGGGTAGGAAAATTTGGTAACTATGAAATAAAAGTCGATTCAAAATTGATTTTAGAGCCTTTCTGGAGAGGAATTTGTGAGCTAAACCCCCCCTCCTTATATTTTAAAAATAGAAATGAGGCTATATAGTTTTTGCTTCTTTAAAAAGAAATAACTATCTAAAACTTAAACTATGTGCTACTTTTTTTTATTAAAATAATAATTTGAAAAGAAGATACAAGAACAAGTTAGATAAATCGTTTTTATTTGCTTGAAAACAATAGAGTATAGTAATTAAATAAATACTTATTTAAAAAATATTTATTTAAAAATATTGTAGGAGGCTTAGCCCCTTAACCCCCCAATCCAGAAAGTATGTCTCTGGTATTGTTGTAGTAAGGAGTTTTATCTAGACTTCCATCGTTAATAATACTTTTTAAAAATATTGGAGAAGGAGGCCTAGCCCCTAAGCCCTCTTCTGCAAGTACAATCATGGCATTGTTGTAGTGGGATTTTATCTAGACCCCACGAGTTTCAGTTATTTAAAAATATAGGGAACAACCCCATAACCAATTTACAATCGACTTTTATTTCATAGTTACCAATTTTTCAATGCTAACTTTCATATTCACAACATGTTATTTACAAAGATTCGAAAAAGTCTTTTGGTGGTTGGGGATTAACGGAAAAATTCTGATATTTTATTTATTCTGAGTTAATACTTCAAATATTGAGAAGTGCTCAGTGGCTAAATATCATCAAGGAATAATAAAAAATCAAGCAGGACATGGATTTTCGATGAAATCCAAATGGAAGCTAATGGTTAATGGCCACTAATGTAGAACATCACTACCAGGTGGATTTGTAGAGGTACCGTGTGGTTTGCCTGTTGTCGTATTAAGAACACGTGCTGTTTATTTCCTGCTAGAAGAAGGTCCAACTACAAGAAAATGGCGAACTCAAATTGAGTCCAACCGAAGATGTAAAGACAAACAAGACCGATATATATATGTCAACAAATATATGTATTAAACAACAAATTTACAAATGACAAAGACATTAACATTTGTGTTCGTGTGTGGACGTAAAGAGTCTGTATATTGGTGAATGTTCAGACGTACGTTGTATGTGTATACTTTTTTCTAGCTATTGTCCCCTTAATTCAATTCCCCAATCAGGATGTCGATAAATCATTTCAGTACGAAAAAAAAAAAAACCACTCCGTCTTAATAAAAAATGCTTTTCTGCGGTATTTTAAACTAAAAATAAATATTTGTTTCAAAATTAAACTTTATATATTTTTTTAAATAACATTTCAGAAAAGTATCTTTCATTTTTGCAAGAGAATTATGCTGTCTCTCAATATGGACAAATCTATCGACTTTTTTTTAGGTACCCCGACGAGATCTCTAAAAAAAAAAAAAGAGCATAGCATGAATAAAAAGGCCTTAAACTTGATGAAAATAATTTTTACTGTCTAAATGTTTATGTTATTATCAAGAGGAAAGATCAAAGTATTTGGGTGGTATTTTTTACATTTTTAATCATTCCTAGCACGTCCTAAATTTTCGTTAAAAATCTTTTTTTTTTTTGAGTCAGCAAAATTAACAGAAGATCGATCATGTCAACTATTTTTTCCATTTTATAACAAAAATGAAAATCTCCATTTAAAATTCTTTTAAACATCAATTATAACTTTTTCAAAATTTATTTTAAGAAAATTAGAAATTATAAAGTTTATTTAAAATATTTTGCAACAAACATTACTTACTTTATGCGCCGAAAAAAATGTAGTTTAAAAATAAGACAAAGCAGGTCTTAACATTTGGTGTCACTTGACAAGTGTTGAGTGATGATTTCATCACGTATTGACAGCTTACGCGAGGCAAAGTTATCGTACGGAAGGACAGAAGTGACATAATTATTTAGATTTAAGTGAACCAATTATTTACCTCGTTATTTTAAAGGAAAACTTCCAGCGCTCTAAATTTTTTTTGTTTCTTCTTTTTTTGTACTTAGCTTTCACCTTTATGTTTACGATGCTTTATGGAAAATATATTATAAAAAAAAATTAAAATAAGACTGTTGAGACTGAGAGATAAAATTTCATAAGTGTTACATCGGCCTCTAACACAAGGGAATTACACCGGTTCTCATATATATATATATATATATATATATATATATATATATATATATATAGTGTCAGTAGTACCTACCCTGAAGTAGCAGCGACAGTACTACACTGCCTAACTGAGTAGTACTTTTTTCCTACCTTTTTTGTATCTGTGATGTTAAATACACTTGTTCTCTAACCCAACTTCGACTTGATTTTCTTATTTTACTATTGTGCCACGACACAACAATAAGAAAGGTATCTAA